AAGAAGGAAAGTACTCTTGCATTGCGGAAAATGATTTTAGCAACACAATCGCCTACGTTTACATCATTGTCCAAAACATCGGTAGGTGAAACATAATAAGAGTATTATTTCTTAAGATTTTCCATTGTGTCTTACGTGAAAAGTGAACGACAAGAGTGACCACATGATCTTGTTTCTCCTGCCATTTTTCACGTTTGCCGGTTCCGCTTTGTCGTTTCTAGGTGATAGTAGTAGTAGTAGCTTTATTGGTACATCCAATCAAAATGGGTCTTCCATACCAAATACAATAAAATGTAATATAAACAATATAAACATTTAAAGGGGATAAGAACTTACATTACCGTTTTATTAAAAACTTAAGATACATAATTCATTATAAAACCTATTGAAAGTCAATGGCTTAAAAAAATCGTTAATGGCTTTCTTAAAAACATTAAATGACTCGATGTTTGTTAAACTTTCTCGAAGATCATTCCAGAGCTGAGCAGCCCTATATGAGAAGGATCGCTGACCTGTTGCTGATCTAAAAAATGGTATATTAAGCTTATTTTTATTCCTAGTATTTCTTGCATGCACCTGGCTTCTTGTCGTGAACTTATTACACAAGGAAGGTGGGGCTAATCCCTTTATACATTTAAAAGCCATTTAAGTGTCTCTAACTTCCAGTTGTTTAGCCACCGGTAACCAGTGAAGTTCCTTTAGTACGTATCGGCGTAATGTGATCATACTTCCTTACGCCATTCACGATCCGTGCAGCAAAATTCTGAACTTTTGAAGCCTAGCAATGTTCTTTTTTGTTGTCAGTAGCCCACATGGATGAACAGTAGAAAAGCTTTGTGAAGACTAGTGAGTTTATCATGGTCATAAGCGTAGACCTATCGAACAAATGTTTCACACGATTGATTTAACACAGGCTACCTATAAACTTAGATACAACTTCGGTCACATGTTCGTCAAAACTGAGGTGAGCCGGTCCACGATGACCCCCAAATCTTTTGCAGAACAAATCTCTTTGCTGAGTAGCGTAACTCCAAAGCCCTTCGGCAAGCGAGCTAACATCTGAGGGGTTCCAAGAAGCAAAGCTTAGTCTTGTCTGGATTAATCAGCAAGCTGTATGTACAACACCACGCGGCAATCCGCTGCAAGTCCTCGGACAAAATGTTCCACAGTGAAGGTAACCTATTTCACTTTTGTCGTGTAGGTAAAATTGTCTTCACTCTTTCTCTCACAGATTAGAAGTTAATTGCCGGAAAAAGTGCACCAAAACTATTCCCTGTAAATCATACAAGAGTGCCTTCAAATTCACCATGACGTGATCTCAAGCGAGTGCGCACACCGCCTGTAAGTTCTTAAAGCATAAAAGACCGAGTTCCATTTTCATTATATTATATTAAGAGAATAACTACTTTATGATTGACGAGCATTGGCTAAAAATTATTTCCATCAGAGCATAACTCAATATTTTGTTTTCGTGCAGATAAAGCAAAACCAACTGAACCTCAGAACATCGAAAGTACCACAAATGCTAAGCATAACCGCAAAAACTGCTATGATTCAATTTTTGAAATGTTATTTCTTATTTTTCTATGTCAGAAATAAATGATGCACCATCGCCTACGCAAAGGAAATACGTCAATTATAATGAATATCGCATTGTCTATTAGTCTGTAAAATGTAGTATGGTGTTTGCTTTTTAGTGTTTTTATATTAAATGGCGCTTTACCGATTTCTTTCTCGTCTAATCCCAGTAAGGTATGCCCGATCATTGTTGTGTAGCGATGTGATGCAAGACAGGATATCGTGTAGCTGCAGATGATAAAAAGGTCACCTACAGCAGTAGCAACGCTATGGAACGCAACACACTAAATGTAACTATGGACCTTTTCGCTGCCACAACAGGTCTCAAACACTACAATTAAAATGCACAAAACATTTGTACCGTTTGAGAGCGTTTGGTTAGAGCTGTTGAAGAAGGATCAAAATGGCCATGCAAATCTTTGAAAGGCTTCAAACTACGACGTACAACGCCTTCTCTAAAACCGGTCTCAAGTTACATGTTAAAAACAGTGCTTGCGTTTGTCCCTGAGGACGATAGAATACGCGACAAATACGTGTATAGTTATATCAAAATAGTAGCATATAGCATGAAAATAGACAGGGAACTCCGCGTTCCTACGTTTCCACTTTCTAGAAACGGCCGAACTTTTACGGAATAT